CCTGCTGGAGAATCATTCTGGCAAGTTTTAGCAGATACCTCGACAAGGCAATGAAATAGGTTAATACTGAACATACGTGTACCAGAGCTTGGGGTGGCGGCTCATGGAATGATTCTTCCCATTTGCTGGAGAGTCTTTTGTTGCCGATTTACTCAACAGGAACTCTTGAAGTTTCTGCTTCACTTCTGTACTGGCCACTGCCCCTGAGACACACAGAATTAAACATATCTTCACTTAAAAAATTACATTTTTAAAGAAAGCAGAAACCAAAACAACAAAAAAAGAGCCTGTGTCTTGCTGCTGGAAGTGTTGTAAACTATAAAAAATATTGGTGGCAATTAGTCAAAATGAGATAACATTCAGATTAAATGTTTGTCTGCAGAAGACTGAAGTTGGCCATAACCCAGAAATCCGGTGAAGTCATAAGGAATATTTGAACAGTAGATGAGGCCATTTATCCAGGGCCAGATGTATCTAAAGAATTTAAATTATTTCCTAATAATTCCCAAATACAAAACCAAGGACAGAACTAAAAAGATAGTGACAAAAGGTCACTAAGTTTGTGGTGAAGAATGTTTTTTCTTTTAGTAAAGTAATAGTAACAGCACAGTGAAACTACTCTCTGAACACTGCCTTGGTTATGAGCAGAACATGGCAGAAAGAGCCAGCAGTGAGACTTCTTATTCAAGTCACTTAAGAGCCTGTACCTGTGACATCTGGAAGACAGACGACGGACTGAAACGTGAGTCTTAGTTGATAACTCTACTTTTATGACATGAAAACTACAGACTGACCAAAATGCCAGGAAGACACAGTGCATTTTGACTTCTCTTGGTGGCTAGCTCAATACAGTACAATACTTCAATACAGCATGGGAGATGCTTCTTTACTCACAGCCATAATACTCTTCATCAAGAAGAAGACCTTATTTCTGTTTTCCATAAACAGTGATAAAAAAGGGAAGAAAAAACATTTCTTTGAAATTAGCAGCTCCAAGACATACTGATACTCTTAGTATTTGGTTACCCAACCCTGACAGGGCACAGCTGGCTGGTGAGCATGGCCCCCTGTGATCCAGTTCCCATAAAATACCCCAACTACCCCTCAGTTTCAGACCCTAACTCCCCTTCCCACATCTTTCTTCCCTCCTTCACTCATTAAGTAGATCATCAGCAAATGCTGGGGCTGGGCCTGGGGGGTCATAAGTTCTGCTTGGCTAGCTGCTACAAACTGAACAGCCACCAAGCAAGCCAAATTGAGAAGGGAACCATTGAGTTCACATCACTACTCTTCCTTTGGTGGGAGCGCTAATAAAGACCAACTGTTTATATGGATGTTGACTTTACATACCACTTACAGGAACCTTATGTAGCTGTGGCTTCTGCCACCCTCCCACTGCTGGGTCAATAGGCTAGTGATGCTTTTGTGGATTCATGGGTCACTGAAGCACTGGAAGTACCATGGACACCTTAATTTCTAAAGTTTACAATATGGTACAGCTACAATGGTTGAACTGATACATTTTTCCACACAAGAGAAAACCAGAGGAGCATATCATTCCCATGAGCATAATGTATAGCTCTTCTCTGCTTTGGGCTTTGTCAGTTAATCCTTGTGTTCATTTAGCCGGCAAGTAATAATATCTGCTTATGGCCACTCCATTTTGAATACCTTCACAATGTACTTCTACAACCTGATTTTTAAACTAACCTCACTAAGGAGAATTACTTGTATCTGTCTCCCTCTAGTGAGCACCATACTTCAACAGTATCCTTTATATCTGTCATTTGCCTTAGCACTATATAGCAGCTAGAGGTAACACTTGGTTTGGTCTCATGAAACGGCATCAAGAACAAACATTAGGCAGTTTGAAAAAGTACTAGCAAAAGTATTCATAAGTCTCAGTCAAAGATCTTCTTAAATATTTTGTTACATTTTCAGTCTTGAAACAATGCTCAAATTACTTAATCGGCAAGTAATTTGTGTTTTTTGCTGTTTCGTAGTGCTTTCTGTATTGGCAAACAAACTCTTCAGAGAGAAATTCTCAAGTGAAGTTTTAGGCTTTCAAATTCCCCTCTTTTTTTATAAAAAAAGCCAGATTCTTGAGAGGCACATAGACAGGACTGTCAAAATGTGCTTTCCTACAGTCCTCCAAGTCGGCACACAAACCAGCAATGTGTTTCTCTGGGCGAAACAGGTGGCTCTGCTTTTCTGCAAGCACAGCCTCAACTTCTCCAGTTGCATATTTCACACAGTAATAGGCTTCCTGCAGATTCCTGTTGTCCACTTTGGCTGGGAGAAGGCAAAGGGGAATAGATTCATTTCTTATTAGGATTCATGGTACATTGGCTCTTACTTTCTCGGCCTCTTTCTTTGCCTCGGAGGGGAGGAAGCTGTTGTTCCCTGCGATGCCTCTCCAGTTCCTGCTCTTGTCTCTGCTGCTCCAGTTTTTGCTCTTTTTCAAGGAGTTCCTGCTGTTGTTTAATGGCTAGGAGTTCCTGTTGTAACTTGCACAGAACAGAAAGACATGAGAAAGTGCAGTTTGCATTGTTTTCCAGGTCAGTCCTGGCTAAAACAACACTCTTCAATAACTGAGTATCAGTGCTTACTTTTGTGCTTAAACTTCTTTTCACCTCTTAACCAACTTTCTCCAGCCTTTTAAACGGGATAGTGCATTACTGACTGTCACTAAAATGAATTGTAATGTCAGATAGCAGCCTGCCGCTCTGGTTTCACTTCTTTCTCTTTTGGCAAAAATGCCTCAAACTGCATACTGAAACTGTTCTTTGCCAGTGCATCACCCAACTCTGGCTGCTGTGCTCCACTGCATTTGTCAGCTCCATCGAGCAGAAGCTTAGCACAGTAGCATAAGGGCAAAGTAGATCAGAAAGAAAACGTTAAAAGAAAGGCAAGATCATAAACTCCCAGTCAAAATCCATTATAGCAATCCTACCACAGTGCATGTAATCCCATAAATCATTTTCTTCTTACATTGTATGAGGCAGCTCAGAGAAGAGTGAAAACACAACACCTTAAGGGCCTGCCTCTATTTTACAAATGCAAATATTATGCACTTGCCTATCAATTTGATTTGTGGACACAAACTCAAATAGCAGCCAAAAAAAGCAGTCTTTTAATATACGCAAAACTGCATATACGGAAAGAACAGCCATATTGAAGTGTGGCTGAAAATCCAGCTTTGTAAAATAGGTAGTTTGATTTTCTGTGGATGTGGTGGCTTCATGAGCTTGATGATTCTCATAGTACTGCCTTGGTCTGCTGTGAGTAACTCATTGGTAGGTGCTAGCAGTTTTGCTTGAAAGGTCTTTTATCTCACAATCACAGAGATATAAACACTAAAACACCGTCTCTCAGTCACAGCAAACCTTTCAGGCACGTTCCCTTTTCATGCCTGCCTAAGCATATTCAGTTTGCAGATAAAGTGAGGGATAAATGAAAAATGTTGCTACCTTTATATGCTCCTGGAGCTGGGCCTGATGCTGGCGAGTCAGGTTTTCATGCTGCTTCTGAAACTCTGCAATCAGCAGTTGTTTCTGAATTTGCTGCTGCTGCTGGATCAGAAGTAGTTCCTGCTGTAACTGCTTTTCACGCATAATTGGGTCCACCATGGGAACCATCATCCTGAGATCAGTTCGCAAGTCTAATGGTGAGATAGGCTCTAATCCCACGGGAACCTCTGACTTTACATCCACTGTGGAAAGAAAAATAACAAAATGCATATATATTGAATATAACTGGAGGAGAATAAAGATCATTCTTACTAGGGAAAAGACCTCTTTCACTAAATGACTGCTTCAATGTACAGACCTAACAGAACACTAATGCAATCTACACTGTACTGTATGTACTTCAGATATCCCTATGAGCAACTGGAGATTTTACCAATTATTTTATCACTCTATTTCCTTTGCCTACAAAAATACTCCCAGATTAATACTCTGCTAAATAGACTAACAAGCAATCCAGCTCTAAAACCATGCAACAGCCTAACAGAGCGGTATTTAGTGAGAATCTCCTAGGCACTATTAATGCTTAACAATAAACACTCAGGGCACTTCTTCAGTGTAAGATGAAGGCCTTCTGGTTCTCACTGCATTGCAAGAGATTTTCCAAAGCCACCATGTTGATTTTCTGAGGATGGTGTTACACATAACACCTACCTAATGCTACATAGCTACTGCATGAAAATATACCTGGTAAACACATACGAACAACACATATAACTTGATAGGAAAATAATTTGACACACAAAGTGAGATGTTTCAGTACAGCTTTTTGAAAAGTGACCACCGTGCTTGGAGCGGATCAGACATATATAATACAATATATGCATTTTCTTGTAAGAAAATGAAAACATCTTGATTTATTCTAAATTTTTGTAATAATGGTATATATTGATAAATCAGAGTTAAAGTACTTAATGAAGAGTCCTGTGTTTTTCCATCTCTTGATTTAAATCAAAGGGACTAAAAAGCAGAAGAAAGAGATTTGCTGATTTTCACTACAATACTTGTAAAGTTCAGGTTTTCATACTAAGTGAAGAAACAGTAACTTTACCTTTTTCAAAAAAAGAAACCCCAAAAACTAACAAGTAACATTTCCACCACAGGAGAATGAAGAGTAGCAGAGGCACGGTGCTCAAGCTCAGCAGTTCTGACTCCATCCACGAGAGGACAGTGGAACACAAACACACTCACTCCCCTTCCTGCTGCTCCCCTATCTTCATAGGAAAATTAGATAATTAACTGAAAACAAACATGCTGTCAGAACTGACTAGACAACAAGATTTTAAGTGTATTTCCTCCTTTTCCTCTGCTACAGCTGTGTTTGTTTTCAAGGAGTAAACCAAAATGAAACAGGGAAATATTCTAGCAAGCAGGAGCAATAACATTGAAACTGCAGAAGTTGAAACTGCAGCAAATGCACAGAACAGAATCCTAATTGTACAATAAAATCTATTAGCATGAAGTTGTATAAAAAGAAGATACAAGGTACGCACTCTCTTCTACTGACCATGCCCTTTTCTTCTCAAAATTCTGGAAATATATAATGTCCTGGGCCTTTTTTTTTAAATCCTAGTAACTGTGACTGTAAACCTCAGAGCATAATTTGCCTTCTTAACCTGCTATCCCAACAGAATGATTGCGTCTAAGTGCTTACTTTTGTTCTGAGACTAATCACTAAATTATAAAAAATCACCTTTAACTTACAAAAACTACTCTTGATTATAAATAATTGCCAGAGACCAAGAGAAACGGCCAGGCAAACCCCCAGCCTTTCATCCCATTTATTCAGCAGCAATCCACATTCCATTTGTCTAGACTAAATATAGCCGCGTTTATACAAGAAATCAATAGTGCTTGCAGAGAGCAGAGCAAAGACATGAATATTTCATCAAACTGGGAGAGAAATGGCAATCAGCAAACTGACAGCAAGCCGTGTAGGCTGACTGGCCCTCCAGATAAGTCTTCAGCACTTGGACAATGGCTCATTGCCTGCAAGTCACAATCTTATCATCGGCGCTCTTCTATTTTTAACATTAATTGCATTGTAGGTGACAAAGGCTTATCATGTTTAAAGTGGAGAGATGGATTTTCTTACATCTTCTGTGACAGGGCAATAAGCCTTACTAGGCGCAATAATAGTAACCGGAGCTCAGCAAACCCTGAGGGGTCTGCTTCGCAATAGTGTTTGCAAACCGAACCCTGCAGGGTTTGGTTCACAATAGTTTTTGCAAACTGAACCCTGCAGTTTATTTTGCAGACATTGGCTACAAATCAACCCCTACAGGTCTGCACGGCAGTTCGGGCTGATTGTATTTCCCATCTCTGATGAGCATCCTGCTTCTTCACTTTCAGTGCACTTCTCATGAGGGGAGGCCTCCAAATTTTTCTAACAGCAGAAATTTTCTTCCACAATGAGCAACACGTACAACTGAATTCAGGCTCAGTTTGATCAGATATACATTTTCCAGAATTTTCACACACTCAAATAATACAACTAGCACTGGAATACCTACTTCGAGGTCAACTTTACCTCATGTGTGAATATGGGGGAAAATAAACATTAAGATAGTTCTAGAGACTTGAACTGACAGAAATCAACACATAACCTTTAATGTAATTTAAATGTCAATGTTCACTGACAAATAGAGATAAGCAGTTACTTTCAGGCATAAATATTGCTAACAGTAAGGTTACCACCAATACTACTACTAACTGTTGACATAGCGAATACTAATTTTGGGGGTTAATTACTGTTTAAAACTGCAAAACCTACTAGTTAGCTCAATAATAGTTAACCTCATCAATAAGATTATTCTAAACAAGCAACTATAAAATCACCAATAAAACTGAATGATTTGTTACAATCTGTTATTTGGTTCTAATACCACAGGCCACTTACATTCTCCTTATTTGTTACAAGCTGACAAGAAAAAGACAAAGCAGCCCTGTGGAGCTACATGAGTGTGAAAAATGAGTAACAGAGCAGAGAATCAGAATCAGTGTCCTTAAAACCTTTGACTTTTAGCTGCATTGTCCTCCCCTCTGCCACAATTTTAAGACTCAAAAGAGCAAAAGTGATACAAAATATTTATTTTCATCGGAGCTGCTTATGTTTTTTTCATTCCCTCTACACAAGGATATAGGTATTTTTCAGGTAGAAAAGGAATGTCCTAATCAGTGCCCTCAATTTCCAAACATCACAAGGAGCAGCAGGATGCAGGAATTTAACAACAGGATTCATCAAGGTATTACCCAAAGAAGGAAAAGGATGGAGCATGAAAAAAAATATTAATCAGAGCTAACTTCTCATTAAGGAGCCTTGTTTTGCAGGACTTCCAGTATCACCAATGGAGCAATGCTGTCACAGGCATGATTCAGAGTGGGACCCTGCCCGCACTCTCTAGCGGATCCTGCCCAAGAGCTCTGCCGACTATGGAGCAAGCCTGGAATTCCTCTCTAAGGTTAACTAAAGACAAACTCTCCGAGCTTATGTTAGCTGTGGTGAATAAAATGGTAGGCTGCAGAATATTAACTAAAAATGTTACTGAAAGCTCAGTGATTCCAGGAAATGTGCCAAAATTTGAGTAGAAAAATACTTAATTTTCAGCTACAACACACTGCAAAAGGCATATGTATTTATTTTTCCTATAAAAACTCAATTGCCTTTATCTTGAAACATAACAACAAAAATAGTCTCAGAAGAACATCCACAGCAATTATATTCCATTGTCAGCACTTCCCATGGTGCTTTTGACATTCTGTGGAAAGAAAATAAGTTACTTGCAAAATGGTATGTTTGTTGAGCAGATTTAGATGCTTGCAGCATATGTAAAAAGAGGTTAAAAAGCTTGTTTTAACCCTGGAGCTTTGCCTTTTGAAACAAATCCTTAAAATGTGAATCACCAAAAAACTGTAAGTTTTTCACTACGAGGTGGTATTTCAAGCTTTTCTTCTAATAAGTAGTTTCAATTTCTGGTGTATCAGATTATGCATAACTTCTGAATCACAAGTGCTAAAGGACAATATCTAAAAGTAAAACAACCCACTGTGTTACCAACATCTCTCAAGAGGAACAATCTTTTTTGTTGGCAGTTACCTTTCTTGGCAGACATATACGTCATCTTTAAAAAATACGGAATTTATAATCACATAATCAGCTGAATAGTCACCATTCCTTATCTGAGATGCCATGAAGAAGGATTTTAGTAGACTTGCTCACCAAAACGTGTCATCAAGTACATTTAGGATTCTTACATTAGAAGAACTGTGTGAACTTGCTGGGACTGCATGGATTCAAGCTAACTCTTCCCCAAAGGCATTTCTCAGTTACATTCTCAGGCTGCGACAGTAAGAAAGGCTGGAGAGAGGAACAGGGCATGAAGCTGGCGAGGCTCCTTCTCCTGCTTTGGCATTCAGGGAAGTCTTTTACTGGAGAAGCAGTTAAGGTTTATGAAGTGAGCAAAGAGGACTACAAAAGTTGGAATGCTAAACTAAAACTACATGTGACAAAAGACAGACGACGAACTCCTCTAACCAGCAATTTCAGTATTGGGCAGTAAAAGCATGTTCCTGAAAACACACCAAACCAAGTAAAATCTACAAGAATCAATTCTGGCAAGAAATGGCCACATCTTACTCTGGATATCAACTCGGTGAAGTATTACAAAGAAAAGACAGAATAGGAGAGCTGTTTATATTAGTGGTAGTGGTAGTCTTTTGAACTCTGCTTTACAAAACGGAGTCTACCTAAAGTTATTATGAATTTGTATAGTATTTTTCATAGGTTTCATATGCTTCTCATAAAATGAAAACAAACCAGAACAGTTTTGCACATTTCAGTGTAAAAGAAACTGCCTCCACTTGGTCTCTTCATTCAGAGAGAGTGAAAAACCTTCTTTTTTGCAGGACCAGCCATCATCAATTGTGACATAATCAGAGCACTGAAGAATTTGCAGAAAAGAGCTTTAAAGAGTGGAAGCTTCCCCCCAGATGAAGATAATGCTTTAAATTTACTCTCCAGTTTAAACCTAGAATTCTCCAGATTTATGTACCACCTCATTCAGGACTTAAAAAGCACCAATAGTAGCTATAATAGTGTCTCTGAACATACTGAGGAAGAAAGGATTGAAAAAACAAAATGCATCAGGACACTGAAAGCTGCAGGAATAAGGAACAGAGGGTAGGAAGGAAACTTTGGCAGGCAGGTGAAGAGA